ATTGTACTTTCATGCAGCAAGTACACTGAATAACAAACCTTAGTCACAGTAAAATAAGACAATTATTCAAATGTAGACACATTTTGACTTTATAATTTAACTTACCGTTACCGTTAACCTTACAGCTTAATAAAAGCCCACTGATTACCTCATATGTGGAATACTTGCCATATTTGCCACACGTGGCAGACAGATTAGAAAACGCATTTTTCGTTTATTTATTTTGAGGAGTTGTCGGGAAGGCGCTGCTGCCCATTTCAATGAATTTTAATTTAATTATTATTATTATCATAAGTTTTTAATTAAGACTTATTTGAATGGTTCAATTGAAAGTTATATAATATGTAGTAATATGCGTGTTATATCAAATGATAAAACGTTAGTACGCAAATGCAACGTTTCGTTTAAATATTCAATCATATTTAAAATAAATCGGAACAATTAGCCAATTGTGATGTTAGAACCTCAAATAAGTTTATCTATTATAGTATATTAAATAGCAAAAATAGCGATTAAACCCTTCTAAGGATTAGTGGTACAGAAAAGGCTCAATCAAATTGTAAGCTTTTTCAATTTACCGCCAATCTCTCGGTTAGCTTTAGAGTAGATTTCGTATTAACTAAGACATCCTTTAGATAACATAAAAGAGAAGCGTTCGTATTTTAATGTGTAATTTAGAATTTAGAATCTATTCTAACTTTAAAGTTTAGTAAATTTAAGTAGTAAAATTTATTTATTTATTTATAACAGGAGAACTAACTGCGTTTGATGAATATTGTATGGTACGTAATATGTAAGTCGTAAAGTAAACTTTTTAATAGGATAGGGTGACAAACGAGTGCACAGTCCACCTGATGGTAAGTGGTTGCTGTGGCCCATAGACATCTATATCTATCCTCGATTACAAATCAAAATACAGATGCATTGTCCCCCGTGAAGAATAAGATGGATGCCTCAATTCCAATAAAAAGGATATCCGGTTCTCTACTCTCATCATACGAAGCACAACAGCATTAAGCTACTATTTTAAGCTGGTATTCTTTGAGAGCGTGGTCCTTCCTCGGTTGAGCTGACCCATTCGTGCTACAACTGTACTACTAATAAAATGCAGCATGGCTCTACCACGTATAAAAGTTTCCACAATTGGTAATCGATTTAAATTACACATACAATATATGTAAATGATATAAGTTGCAAGTTTATGTTAATTAGATTTAAGAAAATACCAAGATTTTTTTTTTTTTTTGTCTTTTGCTATCTCGTGACTAATTATCCGAATTAGATAAAACATAGCACTAATCATTCACTTATAGTCTACGGTGCACAGATTCAACTTCATGTACTACACACATATTCGAATGTGTATATAAAAATGTAGAAAAACATATTTTTTAAGAATCAACTTGACGAACCTGATTAACGGCCACACAGTCCACTTTATGGTGAATGGATGCTTGAATGAAGAAAAATGACCAGAGCTCAAAACAACGTCATAATACTTATATGTTTCTACGTATTAGTTACAGGACAGTAGATCATTTTTTTGGAAGAGGCAAATAAATTTATATTTCACATTATGTAAAGAGTTAATAGGCATATAGCTAATAGGCAAATGCAACCAACTTAAAACAAAGAAATCTCAATTTTAAACAAGGAAGACTAAGATAGAATGCAACATAGTTTATAGCAGCAGACTATCAATAAAATTCAGGCCGGAACCCAGCAATGTATGTAAGCAATGTACACTGCTATTTGTCGGTAAAGACGAATTAGCTGTGGCCGGTTACTTTCGGCTAAAACTAGAAATATAAATTGCGAATAATGAATAAAGTTACTATGATTTCCAGTAACTTTTCCAAAAATGCGACTTAATCGCACCTATTTGTAACCGACTACGCTTGGGTGTAACTGCACCTCTGCTTTCATTTTAAATTTATAGGAAAAAAATGACAAACGAGCGTACAGTTCACAGCAGCAGGGAAGTGGTTGCTGTGATTCATAAAAATCTACATATATCCTGGATTAAGAATCAAAATGCATGTGAGTTGCCTTTTCTAGATCGAGCCGATTCATTCACGCGTCCTCTAGAATATAGCTGCAGTTTGGCTATCCCACTTATAAAATACTAGCTGAGATCCGCTCGCTTCGCGCACAATGACGTCTTATTGCGGAACCTACATCATACTGTGAGCGAGTCTACGTTGCGAAATGAGTAACTAAACTTCAGTCAGTGGTAGTCCGATATATACCAGGCGGTCCCATAATGAACTGGCCTGATATAGTTCAACGCGACATGTCGCTACATGTTGTGTTGCATTAAATATTACGTTTATCGTGCACTTAATATAAGAAATATGCATCGACATGAAATACTTAGTCTTAGTTTAACAGGCATTTGAATAACGAGAGTCGCGTATTTTTTTCAAAATGTCGAAAACTGAGTTTCGAAGTGTCATAAAGTTTCTGTTTAAAAAGGTTTATCCCCTGCCCAAATAAAAGAACGATTGGATGGCGTGTATAAGGAGTCTGCCCCCTCCTATAGCACAGTGAAAAATTGGGTGAAAAAGTTTCGCCTCGGGAGAAAAACCGTCGAAGACTTTGGCCACGACGGTCGACCTGTGGAAGTGCTCACTCCCGAAACGATTGCTCTTATTGAAGAGGAGGTTCTGAGTGACCGCCGTTTGAAGATTAGAGAAATTGCAGCAAGGCTTGGGCTCTCTAAGAGTACCGTTCATCGCGCGATCCATGAACACCTTCACATGAAAAAAGTGAGTGCAAGATGGGTACCGAAACTTCTTTCAGCGGTACAGAGACAGGAAAGAGTGCGCTGCGCTTCGGAGTTTTTGGATTTTTTGTGGCGAAAATCCAAAGACTGTGATCGAGCGGCTAGTGACTGGTGATTAAACTATGATCTTGTATTATGATCCACAAAGCAAGCGCGAGTCAATGGAATGGCGTTGTAAGGGTGAAAAGCCCCCTAGAAAGGCAAAGGTGCAACAATCGACTAAAGAACTGATGTGCACAATATTTTGGGATTTTCAAGGCATTTTGATGGTGGATTTTAAAGAACGTAATACAGTCGTGAACGGCGAATATTATGCTTCTTTAATATATAAATTACGAGACAAGATAAAGGAAAAACGAAGAGTCAAGCCGTCTAAAGGTGTCCTGTTGTTCCATGACAACGCCCCTGTTCATACCGCTGGTGTTTCGAAGGATGCAGTTCGCCAATGCGGGTTCACAGAAGTTCAACACCTTACAGTCCAGACATGGCCCCGTCCGAATATTATTTATTTCCAAATTTAAAGCGGGACTTAAGAGGAAGAAAATTTTCAAGCGATGAAGAGTTGCAGGCGGCCGTCTTCAGTCATTTTGAGGATAAAAAATGTGATTATTTTTATAAAGGTTTAGAGATGTTGATTCACAGATGTCAGAAGTGTGTTAGTATTCATGGTGATTATATTGAAAAATAAAATTGGTTTCGTTTCATTTCCTTCATTGGTTCATAGTTAGGCCAATTCATTATGGGACTGCCTATTATATGGAAGAACAAGTTCTAAACATGCATCTTGTTGGTTATATTATATTCGACATAAGGATACTGCAACAGGAGTTTAGCGGAATAAGAACTCAATTTAATAAAAAAAACTGCGGTTGCCAGTAAACCTACCAAGTATGGCATACGGTAATTTCTCTCTATGAGACAATCCAGGGGAGAGGTCACTTGGGAGGGATTCAACAGTGGACTTTGTCAGGATGGATGGTGGTAATTTTCAAGGTATTCAATTATATATCTTCTTCTACTCTGTATGTTATAACTCTTTATAAAATATTGGTTAACAGTGTTATAAAGCCGCATTAACTCAAATAGTTACCGCTCGCTCTGTATTTCACAGTACGCGAGGAACCCGGGTTCGATCCACGCCGACACCAATAAAAATGTAAATTGCAATTTTAAGTGCTGATTTCCCACGTGATCGCAATCAGCAATTCAGTAGTAAAACAACCTTCAAAATAAGAAAAAACAATATTTCGAAGACATGTGAAGTTCGGCAATACGCATTGAGGCAGCGTGGCGGATATTTCCGATAATAAACTCGGGGCCTGTGCCCAATAGTGGGACGTATATAGGCTGTAACATTAACTAACTTTAACGGTTGTATACGCGTATAAATGGAGAGTCTACATTTTTGATAATTTGCAATTTAAATGAAAGAAAAAGAAGAAAACAAAAAAAGGAACGTCGGGCGTTATTGGTTGCGTGCAAACCTGCAAAATATACTATGCGTTTTAAATAACCCAAGCTGAACACTAAATATAAACTTTTGTAAAAAGCGCTGTTAATGAATATTCATCTCAGCGAATTTTTACTTTCATTGAGACCCTAATAGGAATGTTTGTATGACATTCAGAATTGTTTCAAACAAATATTTTGGCATTGATTCAACAAAATAACACTTTTCAAAACCGGGATTTTTTAAAATATTAGCATTTTCGATATACGGCCCTATCTTGACATAGCTAAAACAAGTTGTCAATGAACCGATTAAGTCTTTTGACACTCAGGGTACTGAAGACGGGAATAAATTACGAGGGAGAAATAAATTACGGGTTGTTATAAACTTTTTCGTCAATTTATACATTTCAATAGAACAATGTTTTTTTAATTAATGGCTTTAGCGCTATAACGTAGGCAATTTACATTTTCATGTTATAATGATTTTTTAAATTTACGCGAAAACTACACATTGAATAAAACTATGTATATGGATACTATCGCATTTTAATTAATTAATAATTAAACGCGATGGAATCCGTATATATAGTTTTATTTATAATATTATAATTTTCATTTTAATTACAGCCCTCGGATCACCATGTGTGATCAGGTTACAGTAGTGCTAGTTAAAGAATATCCGCTACCACATGTCGTCATGTGGATGTCGTAAAAGACGTCATTAACATCAAAAATATCTAAAAGATCAATATCCAAAAGTCAGGCTCAAGATGTTATATTACAAGAAAAAACCAAGCGTCTAAAGACTGTAGCTGTTTCTCTAGAAAGCATAGATTCAGTGGGTGAGTTAGTAGAGGAATCTGTGGTGAAACTTGAACCCCTAAACAAGTCAAGCTCTTCTGAATCTGATTACTTGGATGTTGAAGAAGAAACTTTAGAGTCAGAAGCTTGTGGAGAAAACCTGAACACTGAACAGACTAGTTCAGCTCCACAGAGTACAGAAGAAACTTTAGATATACCACATGCAGATTATACTACACCAGTTCCAGAAGTAATAGAGAAGTGTCAGAGGAGAAAACCAGATATATCGTCAACATGTGTGCTACAGCTACAGGAGAAGATGAACTGACATATGGAGAGGCCATTAGTGTGCCAGAGCGACTAATGTGGTCGCAGTCCATGGCAGAGGAGCTGCAGTCATTCCAAGTGAATCAAGCATGGGAAGTTGTCGATACTCCCAGCAATGCGAGTGTAGTGCAGTGTAAGTGGGTGTTTAAAAAAAGTTTGACTCATACAATAAAGTGACATATCGTGCGCGGCTTGTAGCCAAGAGTTTTACCCAGAAGGATGGTATTGATTACTAAGAAACCTTCAGTCCAGTGATTAGACATTCAAACCTGCGTTTGTTGTTTGCCATAAGTGTCCAGTTAGGAATGGACATCGTCTAGATGTGAAAACAGCTTTCCTTAATGGTCATCTAAAAGAAATCATATTTATGCATTTACCTGAAGGTTTTCCCATAAATAATTCGAATAAAGTTTTAGAGTTAATAAAAGCTGTTTATGGATTAAAACAATCATCTATAGCATGGTATAAAAGGGTTGAGGAGATACTATGTAAATAAGGATTTAGAAAATGTAAATTAAAACCCTGTGTATTTGTTAAAAATCATAGGATAATAAGAAAACTATAGTTGGACTGTATGTCGATGATTTTCTAGTATATTCAAATTGTAAGTCTGAATCTGATAATTTAATAGAGATTTTGAGTCAAAAATTTAAAATTTTGAATTTAGGTCAAGTGAGAAATTATTTGGGAATGAGAGTTAACATTAACAAAAGTACCAATGTAATTACTTTAGATTAAGAACAGTATATAAATCAGTTACTTAAAAATTTGATATGTCTGAATGTCATGCAGTAGAAACTCCTATAGAATGTAAATTGAATGTTGATAAGTCTAATGTATGTGAACAAAAGCTACCTTATCAAAAATTAATAGGAAGTTTAATGTACTTAGCTGTCCTAACTCGTCCTGATATTTCCTATTCAGTCAGTTATTTAAGCCAATTTAACAACTGTTATTCTTATGTACACTGGAATTATGCAAAAATAATTCTGAAATATTTGTCACAGACTATTTGTTTAAATATTGTTGTATTGTTTAAAATATTCCAAAGAAAGTGCAGAGCTTGTAGGTTTTGTGAATGCTGATTGGGCAAGTGACGCCACTGACAGACGCTCATATACTGGTTTTTGTTTCACTAAATCAGGTGCTGTAATTTCTTGGGAGAGCAAGAAACAAAGAACTGTTGCCATTAGTAGCACTGCACTGCTTCACAAGCAGAATATATGGCTTTGTCGGAAGCATGTCGAGAAGCAATATATTTATAGAAGTTAGAGTTTGAAATAATTGGTTCTTATAGTAAAATTGTTACGTACAATGACAGTCAGAGTACATTAAAGTTAGCAAATAATGATCAGTCACATAAACGGTCTAAACATATTGATATCAGGTATCATTTCATTAGAGAAGTTTTAAGAAATGATATGATTGAAGCTAGATATTTGCAAGTCAACAGCTAACGTGCCTGCTGACTTGCTAACCAAAGGTCTGCCAGCTGTTAAACATTATAAGTTCATGAAAGATTTTGGAATTGTTAATTTAGAATAGCCAAGGCAGAACTGTATACTGTATTTGTTATTGTGTATTGAGTTAAAAAGGCAATTTTTTTGTAGCTTTACCTCTCCACTGCATGTAATACTTTGAAAGTGTTGTTATTTTGATAAAGTGGGGGGTGTTAGAATATTATCAAATATAATCTTAATTAATACAAGTAGCGCCATCTTTGAGATATTGAGGTGAAACTTTGTCTATAGTCTATGAATAAATCATCATCATCATCATCATTATAGCCCTTCACAAGTCCACTGCTGAACATAGACCTCCCCCAAGTAACGCCACAAAGCACGGTCCTGAGCACCTGCATCCATCCACTTCCTGCATGTCTTACCAGGTCGTCACTCCATCTAGTGGGGGGTCGCCCTACACTACGCCTACCGGTACGAGGCTGCCACTCGAGAACTTTTCTTCCGGTTTAAAGATCTTTATTTCTCAATAAGACAATAGTCACTTACATGAGAACAATAACTATATGAACTTAGTAATAACAATTTTTAGTGCAGGTATAAATAACTTTGTTAGATGTCGCTTTTAAGAAGCGAATATCTTTGTTGTTTATTCAAACTATAAGGTGGTGGTCCAAGCTTAATAATGTTTTTTTATTTTTATTTAATAATGATTAAGGTTAGGTATTTAGCTGTTGTAAATATAGGTATGGAAGTAACTTCCGTTTGAAAACATTCAAAGATTTCGCCTCCTTTACAAATTTAGGTATTTCGTTGTATAACTGTGCTCCTTTATACGTTATATTATTTTTACCATAGTTTGTTCTTATAGGTGGCAATACAAGGTGACTAGCTCGGCGTGTTATGTTGTTGTTTGTTTGTTTCTTTGTTAAAAACGTGAGTTGTGTGTGGATTAATTTATGTTTTATTTTATATATTAGTATGCATGTGCTATATGTATAAAGTTGAGTAACGTTCAACAGTTTAGTTTCCTTATATATTGTATTAGTTGGTGTTAAAAAGTCATAGTTATACAAAATTTTTATGATACGGTTTTGTAGCACTTGGAGAGACTTAAGATTGGTTTTGGCTGCATTACCCCATACCTCTACAAGGTAAAGTAAGTGAGGTTTTACTAGAGAGTTATATATTAGGATTCGGGCTTTTTTCGGAATACATCGAACTATTTTGTGAAGGCGGCCAACGAGAGAGGAAAGTTTGTTTTTAATATGTGTGAGATGTGCATTCCAAGTCAAATTACTGTCGAGAAACAGTCCAAGGTATTTTTCTTGATTTTTTATCTGTAACGTTTCTCCGTTTATAGTCAAAGTAAGGTGGTTTTGGTTAGGGAGTTTTTTGTTCTTCGCGCTGAAAATTATATATGAAGTCTTGGCTTGGTTCTTCCCCATCGGTTATCGTTTCTTCGAGCTATATGGCCGGCCCATTGCCACTTCAGCTTACTAATCCGTTGGGCTATGTCGGTCACTCTGGTTTTACTGCGGATATCCTCATTTCTGAGTCTATCACGCAGAGAAACTCCGAGCATAGCCCTCTCCATAGCTCACTGAGCGACCTTGAGCGTCATCATACGGCCAGCAGTGAAGGACCACGTCTCTGATCCCTAAGTCATCACTGGCAACACGCACTGGTTGTACACTTTAGTTTTGAGAGATTGAGGTATACCTGACGAGAAGATGTGTCGTAATTTCCCGAACGCTGCCCAGCCGAGTTAAATCCGTCGATTGACCTATCGGTCGAAATTGGACTTACCTAGTCGGACTATTTGTCCCAGGTAAACGTACTCGTCAACAACTTCGAGCATAGTGCTCCCAACAACTACCGGCATAGGTGATACATGGACTTTAAACATGATCTTTGTTTTGTCCATGTTCATCTTGAGACCTATCCGTATGAATAAATGACTTGAATAAATCATGTCTGTTAGAAACCAATCAACGACTTTTATTAGTTCACACATTATTATTATACCAGATAGTTAATGCATTATTGTTATTTTGATTATAGCTGAGCTTTCTTACCAGTCGGAATGGGGGAAAAATAAATACAAGTCTCAATGTGTCACCAAACGTAAACAAAGAAAATCCTATTACTAGAAAAATAATAATGGAGAATAAAAATGTCTGCATGCTTGCCATATGGCCTGACCCAGGTTATGCAGTAAAGGTGCTAAAAATCTACAAAGACGACAAATTTTGGGTTTTGAATATGTTACCCAAGTTACAAACGTTTTATAAAAATTGTGTACTGCCTGAAATTATTGACTCGTGATAAGCTCGGTGAATACCGTTGCGGCACAAATTTTTATGATAAAAAAGTATAGTAATCGACTGTGAGTACCGATTAAAAAAATTAGTTATAGTTGGTTATTTTATTTACTAAAACAGGTTGCAACCGTAAAATTTATTTATTTATACCACTATGCTACCGTTAGTAGACATAATCGATGATTTACCAACATCAGTTAACAATCGATTACTGACAATTAACTATTTGTGTACTTATTTCAACACTAAAGTTCATATATATTAAAAATATATCAAATAGATTATAATAAATTAGTTAGTTAACATAAAAATGACACACCAAAAATTTTCCATCCACTGAACTCCATCCTAAAAAAAACTTATATAATGGACGTTCAAGATCGTTTAGTCGCTATACTTTCAGCATCATAGTGCGAGCTAAAGAATAGATATGAAAAAAGTATCGCCCGCGTAGTTCGTCGAACGCTCGGGTAGTAAAATACCTAAATTTGAGTAACGGCGAAATGTAAGAGAGCTCTAAGGCGCTACCCTGACCAAAACCTGGCAAAAGTGCGTTTTTCAGACTCTATTATCTGATTAGTTAGGAAAAATAAACTACATCTAAAAGTACATTATTAATGTTCGATATCTTATCATCGCATTCCACGTTCTAATTTATTTTTATGTGCTATAAATACATTTAAAATCAACTTTTAAAAAATGACTAAAATTCTTGATTACATGCATCTGTTGCTAAACGCAACGCTCTAATCATTTGAGGATAACACTAATGGATAGATAATGAAAAAATCTATATTCTCCACGTTTTATTTAAATTTTTAAGTTCATTTTTTCTCTTTTAATTGAAATAATTCCGAAAATTGTGTGACTTCTATGATAAAGCGGCATGCGCAGAGTGCGGGCGGCATTACGCTGTATGCGTTTGTACGAGGTGGCCGCATCGGTGGTCGCCGCGTCCGTATTTCGCCGCAAACATAATATTATTTTAGTACCTACCAACCGATGCGCTTACGTCACGGTATATTGTAACTCGGCCGTATCTTAGAAATAAATCTTACAGCCGTGCGGTACGTAAACATGCATAGGGCTGTCTGCCTCCAGCATTTTTACATTTGCCCATTGATTTATGTGTTTTATAACTCAATGCATTTTCCTACTTTGTGTTTCCATTTAGTTTTATGATTGTACTTAAATATACTTTTTTTATATAAACAAAT